GAGGGGGGGTTTGAGGGGTGGAGTTTGTGGGGGGGGTGGGTGGGGGTTGAGGGGAGGAGTTTGGGGGGGTGTGGGGGGGGGTTGAGGGGTGGAGTTTGGGGGGGGGTGGGGGGGGGTTGACGGGTGGAGTTTGGGGGGGGGTGGGGGTGGTTTGAGGGGTGGAGTTTGGGGGGGGTGGGGGTGGTTTGAGGGGTGGAGTTTGGGGGGGGGGTGGGGGTGGTTTGAGGGGTGGAGTTTGGGGGGGGTGGGGGGGGTTGAGGGGTGGAATTTGGGGGGGGGTGGGGGGGTTTGAGGGGTGGAGTTTGGGGGGGGGTGGGGGTGGAGTTTGGGGGGGGTTTGAGGGGTGGAGTTTGGGAGGGGGTGGGTGGGGGTTGAGGGGTGGAGTTTGGGGGGGGGGGGTGGGGGTGGTTTGAGGGGTGGAGTTTGTGGGGGGGGTGGGTGGGGGTTGAGGGGTGGAGTTTGGGGGGGGGGGTGGGGGTGGTTTGAGGGGTGGAGTTTGGGGGGGGTTTGAGGGGTGGAGTTTGGGGGGTGGGGGGGTTTGAGGGGTGGAGTTTGGGGGGGTGGGGGGTTTGTGGGGGGGGGTGGTTTGTGGGTGGAGTTTGGGGGGGTGGGGGTGGTTTGAGGGGTGGAGTTTGGGGGGGGTGGGGGGGGGGTTGAGGGGTGGAGTTTGGGGGGGGTTTGAGGGGTGGAGTTTGGGAGGGGGAGGGGTTTGAGGGGTGGAGTTTGGGGGGGGGTGGGGGTGGTTTGAGGGGTGGAGTTTGGGGGGGGGTTGAGGGGAGGAGTTTGGGGAGTGGGGGGGGGGCTTGAGGGGTGGAGTTTGGGGGGGTTGAGAGTTTCCGGGGGGACTTCGGGTGGGGGGCGGGGGGGGTCCGTGACGTCATCGCGCAGCCCTCCCCTACGCCGTGACGTCACCGCCGCCCAGACCCTCCCTCCCATCGAACGTGACGCTTTGTGCGCAGGGAAATTTTGTTAATTTTAATAAATCACCACCACCCCTCCCCCCACCCCACCTCGCACCGACGTTTCGAGATGCTAGCCAAACCCGTGCCACTCGGACGAGCTCGACGTTGCGGCAATCAACGGCCATCGCTAACGCCTTCGCCGACCGAGGCCGCTTCTTAGGCCCTCAGGCCTACGGCCTCGCCTGGATTCTCGCGCCGCCGCCGGTCCCACCGAGGCCCCCGGGGAGGCGCCAGGCGAGCGCCAAGGCCTCTCGGGGCCTAGGCGGGAATTGAACGGCGACTTTTGAAATTGATTTCAACATCGGAGGGGATTTGTGTTAAGGCGAGCAGAGTGGACGTGGGTGAGTGTCTCTCTGTGTTTGTGTGTGTCTGTGTGTGTTTGTGTCTGTGAGTGTCTCTGTGTGTGTGTGTGTTTGTCTCCGTGTGTGTGTCTCTGTGTTTGTGTGTGTGTCTGTGTTTGTATGTGTCTCTGTGTTGTGTCTCTGTGTGTGTGTCTGTGTGTGTGTTTGTCTGTGTGTGTGTTTGTCTGTGTGTGTGTGAGTGTCTCTCTGTGTTTGTGTGTGTCTCTGTGTGTGTCTGTGTGTGAGTGTCTCTGTGTGTCTCTCTGTGTGTGTTTGTGTGTGTCTCTGTGTGTTTGTGTGTGTGTGTCTCTGTGTGTTTGTGTGTGTCTCTGTGTCTGTGAGTGTCTCTGTGTGTCTCTCTGTGTGTCTGTGTGTTTGTGTGTGTCTCTGTGTGTGTGTTTGTCTGTGTCTCTGTGTGTGTGTGTCTCTGTGTCTGTGTGTCTCTCTGTGTCTGTGTGTGTGTCTGTGTGTTTGTGTCTCTCTGTGTTTGTGTGTGTCTCTGTGTCTGTGTGTGTCTCTCTGTGTTTCTGTGTGTCTCTCTGTGTGTCTCTGTGTCTGTGTGTTTGTGTGTGTCTCTGTGTGTGTGTCTCTCTGTGTGTTTGTGTGTGTCTCTGTGTCTGTGAGTGTCTCTCTGTGTTTGTGTGTGTGTCTGTGTGTGTGTGTGTCCCTCTGTGTTTGTGTGTGTGTCTGTGTGTGTCTCTCTGTGTTTGTGTCTCTGTGTTTGTGTGTGTCTCTGTGTGTTTGTCTCTGTGTGTCTCTCTGTGTGTCTGTGTGTCTCTCTGTGTGTGTGTTTGTCTCTCTGTGTGTGTGTGTTTGTCTCTCTGTGTTTGTGTGTGTCTCTGTGTGTTTGTCTCTGTGTGTCTGTGTGTGTGTGTGTCTCTGTGTGTGTCTGTGTGTCTCTCTGTGTTTGTGTGTCTCTCTGTGTGTCTCTCTGTGTGTGTTTCTCTGTGTTTGTGTGTGTCTCTGTGTGTGTGTCTCTGTGTCTGTGTGTGTTTCTCTGTGTTTGTGTGTCTCTGTGTATGTGTGTCTCTGTGTCTGTGTGTGTCTCTCTGTGTTTGTGTTTGTCTCTGTGTGTCTCTCTGTGTGTCTGTGTGTGTCTCTGTGTATCTCTGTGTGTGTCTCTCTGTGTGTGTTTGTCTCTGTGTGTGTGTGTGTCTGTGTGTGTGTGTTTGTCTCTGTGCGTGTATTTGTCTCTGTGTGTCTGTGTGTGTGTCTCTGTGTGTCTGTGTGTGTGTGTTTGTCTGTGTGTCTGTGTGTGTGTCTCCGTGTGTGTGTCTCTGTGTTTGTGTGTGTCTCTGTGTGTGTGTGTCTGTGTGAGTCTCTGTGTGTCTGTGTGTGTGTGTTTGTCTGTGTCTCTCTGTGTGTGTGTCTCTGTGTTTGTGTGTGTCTCTGTGTGTGTGTGTCTGTGTGTGTGTCTCTGTGTGTGTGTCTCTCTGTGTGTGTCTGTGTGAGTCTCTGTGTGTCTGTGTGAGTCTCTGTGTGTGTGTCTCTGTGTGTCTGTGTGTGTATTTGTGTGTGTCTGTGTGTCTGTGTGTGTATTTGTGTGTCTCTGTGTCTCTGTGTGTGTCTCTGTGTGTGTGTGTCTGTATGTGTGTGTCTCTGTGTGTGTGTCTCTATGTCTGTGTCTCTGTGTCTGTGTGTGTCTCTGTGTCTGTGTCTCTGTGTGTGTCTCTGTGTGTGTCTCTGTGTCTGTGTGTGTCTCTATATATGTGTGTGTGTCTCTGTGTGTGTCTCTCTGTGTGTGTGTGTGTCTCTGTGTGTGTCTCTGTTTTTAGACTGAAACGGAAACTCAATGGCGACAAGAAAGGAATCTGCGTCAGGTGAGAGTGGTGGTGGTGGTGGTTGTGGTAGTAGTGGTTGTGGTGGTGGTGGTAGTAGTGGTGGTGGTAGTGGTGGTGGTAGTGGTGGTGGTGGTAGTAGTGGTGGTGGTGGTTGTGGTGGTGGTAGTGGTGGTTGTGGTGGTGGTTGTGATGACGGTGGTGACGGAAGTGGTGGTGGGTGTGGTGGTGGTAATGGTTGTGATGGTGCAGGTGGTGGTTGTGGCTCTCTGAACGGCGTTGTGTTCCATTTTGTGGTGGTGGTTGTGATGATGATTATGGTGGTGCTTGTGGTGATGATGGTGGTTGTGATGATGGTGGTGGTGCAGGGAGTGGTTGTGATGATGATGAATGATGGTGGTGGTGCTGTCGGTGGTTGTGGCTCCCTGGACAGCGTTGTGTTCCGCAGTGGGCGAGTTGTCCCGTGATGGTGGTGGTTGTGATGGTTGTGGTGATGATGATGGTGGTGGTGATGGTGGTTGTGATGATGATCATGGTGGTGGTGGTTGTGATGAGGGTGGTGGTGGTTGTGATGATGATGGTGGTGGTGGTGGTTGTGATTATGATGATGATGATGGTGGTTTTGATGATGATGATGGTGGTAGTGATGGTGGTTATGATGATGATGGTGGTGGTGGTTGTGATGATGATGGTGATGGTGGTTGTGATTATGATGATGATGATGGTGGTTGTGATGATGATGATGGTGGTTGTGATGATGATGATGGTGGTTTTGATGATGATGATGGTGGTAGTGATGATGATGGTAGTGATGATGATGATGGTGGTGGTGGTGATGGTTGTGATGATGATGATGGTTGTGATGATGATGATGCAGGTGGTGGTTGTGGCTCTCTGGACGGCGTTGTGTTCTGCGTGGGGGAGTAGTTCTGTGATGATGATGATGGTGGTGGTAGTGATGATGATGGTGGTGGTGGTTGTGATGATGGTGATGATGGTGGTAGTGATGATGATGGTGGTGGTGGTGATGATGATGGTAGTGATGATGATGGTGGTGGTGGTGATGATGATGGTAGTGATGATGATGGTGGTGGTGGTGGTGGTGATGATGATGATGGTAGTGACGATGATGATGATGATGCAGGTGGTGGTTGTGGCGTGGGGGAGTCGTTCCGTGATGATGATGGTGGTGGTGGTGATGATGATGGTGGTGGTGGTGATGATGGTGGTGGTGGTGGTGATGATGATGGTGGTGGTGGTGATGATGATGATGCAGGTGGTGGTTGTGATGATGGTGGTGGTTGTGATGATGGTGATGATGGTGGTAGTGATGATGATGGTGGTTGTGATGATGGTGGTGGTGGTGGTGATGATGATGATGGTAGTGATAATGATGGTGATGGTGGTGGTGATGATGATGCAGGTGGTGGTTGTGGCTCTCTGGACGGCGTTGTGTTCCGCGTGGGGGAGTAGTTCTGTGATGATGATGGTGGTGGTAGTGGTAGTGATGATGATGGTGGTGGTGGTGGTGGTGATGATGATGCAGGTGGTGGTGATGATGATGGTAGTGATGATGGTGGTGGTGGTGATGATGATGGTGATGGTGGTGGTGGTGATGATGATGATGGTGGTTGTGGTGATGATGGTGATGATGATGGTAGTGATGATGATGGTGGTGGTGATGGTGATGATGATGGTGGTGGTGGTGGTGGTGATGATGGTGGTGGTGATGATGATGGTAGTGACGATGATGATGATGATGCAGGTGGTGGTTGTGGCTCTCTGGACGGCGTTGTGTTCTGCGTGGGAGAGTAGTTCTGTGATGATGATGGTGGTGGTAGTGATGATGATGGTGGTGGTGGTGATGGTGATGATGGTGGTAGTGATGATGATGATGGTGGTGATGATGATGATGGTAGTGATGATGATGGTGGTGATGGTTGTGACGATGATGATGCAGGTGGTGGTTGTGGCTCTCTGGACGGCGTTGTGTTCTGCGTGGGAGAGTAGTTCTGTGATGATGATGATGATGGTGGTAGTGGTAGTGATGATGGTGGTGGTGGTGATGATGGTGGTGATGGTTGTGACGATGATGATGCAGGTGGTGGTTGTGGCTCTCTGGACGGCGTTGTGTTCCGCGTGGGGGAGTCATTCCGCTCCCCTCCCGTGGTTTCTGCTCCGCTCGGCCTGTCTCTGCCTGACCCGCGCAGCCTCCTAGCACAGATGCAGTCCGTGAGTCCCACCGCCACAACCACCGCCACCACCAACCACAACTATCACAGCCACCACAACCATCACGGCAAATGCAATCGCAACCACTGTTGCAAACCATCGCAGCCCTCCGCCACAACCACCAAAAGCCACCATCACAACCATAACCGCCACCATCAGAAGCACCGCATCCACCACCACAACCACCACCACAACAACGACGACCATTATCACCACCACAACCACCACCATCATCACATCCACTACCATCACAGCCATCGCCACCGTCATCACATCCACCACCACTACCATCATCACATCCCCTTCACCACAACCATCACCACCATTATCACATCCACCACCACTACCACTACCATCATCACATCCACCACCACTACCATCACCACTACCATCATCACATCCCCTTCACCACAACCATCACCATTATCACATCCACCACCACTACCACAACCATCACCACTACCATCACATCCACTATCACCACAACCATCACCACCATCATCACCACCACTACCATCATCACAACTATCACATCCACTACCACCACCACTACCACCACCACTACCACCACCACTACCATCATCAATATCCCGTTCTCCACATCCATCACCACTACCATCACATCCACTATCACCACAACCATCACTACCACCACCACTACCATCATCACAACTATCACAACCACTACCACCACCTTCCTGCGTCTCCCCCCCCCCACCACCACCACCACCCCCCCACCACCCCCCCCACCACCACCCCCTCCACCCCCACCACCACCACCACCCCCCCACCACCACCACCCCCCACCCACCACAGTACGACTTCTCTCTGGAGCGTCGCTGCCTCGCAGAGTCCTCCCTCGTCCTCGCTCGCCAGCGGCAACTCGGCAACCAGCGGCAGCAGCGGCAGCAGCAGCAGGCGGCGGCCGTGGCGGCATCATCGGCATCATCGGCATCATCGGCATCATCGGCGTCGGCGGCGTCTGGCGAAGAGAATGGACTCTCGTCCGTCCATCCGCTGATCGCGACGCTCCGTCACTGCCACATCCTCACCCCCACGCCGGCTCTGGACCACGGCACCGGTGGCACCGGTGGCACCGGCACCGGCGTCACCGGCACCACCGGCGTCTCCGCCGGCGGTGTCTCCGGCGCGCCCCGCGACGGCCGCATCAACCTGGCCGAGTTTGACCGGCAGGAGGACCCCTTCGACAACATGGAGCTGCAGACGCTGGACGACCGCGCCGAGCTGCGGATCATCCTGGCGGGGCGAGACGCCGCCGGCACCGGCGTCTCCGGCACCGGCGGTGTCTCCGACGTCACCGGCGATGTCTCCGACGTCTCCGGCGACGTCGATCCGGCGGCGGCCGCCTTCGACCGCCGCCGGGTGGACCCCTTCGACCGCGCGAACCTGCGGACCCTTGAGGACCTCGCCGAGCCGCGGATCAGCCCGGCGGGACGCGGCTCCGGCGGCGGCTCCGCCGGGGCTGCCGCCGGCGGCTCCGGCGGCGGTCACGGCAGCGACGACGACCGGCGGCGGGCGGCCCCGGCCGCCGCTCACCGTCCGTACGTCCGGCTGACGCGCGACGGAAACGGCGGCGGCGGTGGCGGTGAAGCCACGGCGGCAGCGGCGGCGGCCTCGGCGCTGTGGGCCGTGGGGTCGGCGAACAGCATCCGCTCACTCTCCTTCCCGACACTCGCCGATCTGGAGTGCGACGGAGCGGAAGGCGGCGGTGGTGCCGGTGGCGGTGGTGGCGGTGGTGGTGGTGGTGGTGCCGGTGGTGGTGGTGGCGGTGGGACTGTGGCGGTGCCGGCGGGGGAGAAGCTTCCGGGCGTTGCGGCAGCGGCAGAAGAGGAGGAGTCTGAAATAGTTTGGAGCAGTCAGGTGAGCAGTAGCTGATGGGTTGACTGCTAACCGTGTTGACTACTAACCGTGTTGACCACTAACCGTGTTGACCACTAACCGTGTTGACCACTAACCGTGTTGACTACTAACCGTGTTGACTACTAACCGTGTGGACCACTAACCGTGTTGACCACTAACCGTGTTGACTACTAACCGTGTTCACTACTAACCGTGTTCACTACTAACCGTGTTGACTACTAACCGTGTTGACTACTAACCGTGTTGACTACTAACCGTGTTGACCACTAACCGTGTTGACCACTAACCGTGTTGACCACTAACCGTGTTGACTACTAACCGTGTTGACTACTAACCGTGTTGACCACTAACCGTGTTGACTACTAACCGTGTTGACTACTAACCGTGTTGACTACTAACCGTGTTGACTACTAACCGTGTTGACTACTAACCGTGTTGACTACTAACCGTGTTGACTACTAACCGTGTTGACTACTAACCGTGTTGACTACTAACCGTGTTGACTACTAACCGTGTTGACCACTAACCGTGTTGACTACTAACCGTGTTGACTGCTAACCGTGTTGACCGCTAACCGTGTTGACTACTAACCGTGTTGACTACTAACCGTGTTGACCACTAACCGTGTTGACTACTAACCGTGTTGACTACTAACCGTGTTGACCACTAACCGTGTTGACTACTAACCGTGTTGACCACTAACCGTGTTGACTACTAACCGTGTTGACTACTAACCGTGTTAACTGCTAACCGTGTTGACTACTAACCGTGTTGACCACTAACCGTGTTGACCACTAACCGTGTTGACTACTAACCGTGTTGACTACTAACCGTGTGACTACTAACCGTGTTGACTACTAACCGTGTTGACTACTAACCGTGTTGACTACTAACCGTGTTGACTACTAACCGTGTTGACTACTAACCGTGTTGACTACTAACCGTGTTGACTACTAACCGTGTTGACTACTAACCGTGTTGACTACTAACCGTGTTGACTACTAACCGTGTTGACTACTAACCGTGTTGACCACTAACCGTGTTGACCACTAACCGTGTTGACCACTAACCGTGTTGACCACTAACCGTGTTGACTACTAACCGTGTTGACTACTAACCGTGTGGACCACTAACCGTGTTGACCACTAACCGTGTTGACTACTAACCGTGTTCACTACTAACCGTGTTCACTACTAACCGTGTTGACTACTAACCGTGTTGACTACTAACCGTGTTGACTACTAACCGTGTTGACCACTAACCGTGTTGACCACTAACCGTGTTGACCACTAACCGTGTTGACTACTAACCGTGTTGACTACTAACCGTGTTGACCACTAACCGTGTTGACTACTAACCGTGTTGACTACTAACCGTGTTGACTACTAACCGTGTTGACTACTAACCGTGTTGACTACTAACCGTGTTGACTACTAACCGTGTTGACTACTAACCGTGTTGACTACTAACCGTGTTGACTACTAACCGTGTTGACTACTAACCGTGTTGACCACTAACCGTGTTGACTACTAACCGTGTTGACTGCTAACCGTGTTGACCGCTAACCGTGTTGACTACTAACCGTGTTGACTACTAACCGTGTTGACCACTAACCGTGTTGACTACTAACCGTGTTGACTACTAACCGTGTTGACCACTAACCGTGTTGACTACTAACCGTGTTGACCACTAACCGTGTTGACTACTAACCGTGTTGACTACTAACCGTGTTAACTGCTAACCGTGTTGACTACTAACCGTGTTGACCACTAACCGTGTTGACCACTAACCGTGTTGACTACTAACCGTGTTGACTACTAACCGTGTTGACTACTAACCGTGTTGACCACTAACCGTGTTGACCACTAACCGTGTTGACTACTAACCGTGTTGACTACTAACCGTGTTGACTACTAACCGTGTTGACCACTAACCGTGTTGACTACTAACCGTGTTGACCACTAACCGTGTTGACTACTAACCGTGTTGACTACTAACCGTGTTGACTACTAACCGTGTTGACCACTAACCGTGTTGACCACTAACCGTGTTGACCACTAACCGTGTTGACTACTAACCGTGTTGACTACTAACCGTGTTGACCACTAACCGTGTTGACCACTAACCGTGTTGACTACTAACCGTGTTGACCACTAACCGTGTTGACCACTAACCGTGTTGACCACTAACCGTGTTGACTACTAACCGTGTTGACCACTAACCGTGTTGACCACTAACCGTGTTGACTACTAACCGTGTTGACTACTAACCGTGTTGACCACTAACCGTGTTGACTACTAACCGTGTTGACTACTAACCGTGTTGACCACTAACCGTGTTGACCACTAACCGTGTTGACTACTAACCGTGTTGACCACTAACCGTGTTGACCACTAACCGTGTTGACTACTAACCGTGTTGACTACTAACCGTGTTGACTACTAACCGTGTTGACTACTAACCGTGTTGACTACTAACCGTGTTGACTACTAACCGTGTTGACCACTAACCGTGTTGACCACTAACCGTGTTGACTACTAACCGTGTTGACTACTAACCGTGTTGACTACTAACCGTGTTGACTACTAACCGTGTTGACTACTAACCGTGTTGACCACTAACCGTGTTGACCACTAACCGTGTTGACTACTAACCGTGTTGACTACTAACCGTGTTGACCACTAACCGTGTTGACCACTAACCGTGTTGACCACTAACCGTGTTGACCACTAACCGTGTTGACTACTAACCGTGTTGACTACTAACCGTGTTGACTACTAACCGTGTTGACTACTAACCGTGTTGACTACTAACCGTGTTGACTACTAACCGTGTTGACTACTAACCGTGTTGACTACTAACCGTGTTGACTACTAACCGTGTTGACTACTAACCGTGTTGACTACTAACCGTGTTGACCACTAACCGTGTTGACCACTAACCGTGTTGACTACTAACCGTGTTGACCACTAACCGTGTTGACCACTAACCGTGTTGACCACTAACCGTGTTGACCACTAACCGTGTTGACTACTAACCGTGTTGACCACTAACCGTGTTGACTACTAACCGTGTTGACCACTAACCGTGTTGACCACTAACCGTGTTGACTACTAACCGTGTTGACTACTAACCGTGTTGACTACTAACCGTGTTGACTACTAACCGTGTTGACCACTAACCGTGTTGACTACTAACCGTGTTGACTACTAACCGTGTTGACCACTAACCGTGTTGACTACTAACCGTGTTGACTACTAACCGTGTTGACCACTAACCGTGTTGACCACTAACCGTGTTGACTACTAACCGTGTTGACAACTAACCGTGTTGACTACTAACCGTGTTGACCACTAACCGTGTTGACCACTAACCGTGTTGACTACTAACCGTGTTGACCACTAACCGTGTTGACTACTAACCGTGTTGACCACTAACCGTGTTGACTACTAACCGTGTTGACCACTAACCGTGTTGACCACTAACCGTGTTGACCACTAACCGTGTTGACCACTAACCGTGTTGACTACTAACCGTGTTGACTACTAACCGTGTTGACTACTAACCGTGTTGACCACTAACCGTGTTGACTACTAACCGTGTTGACTACTATCCGTGTTGACTACTAACCGTGTTGACTACTAACCGTGTTGACCACTAACCGTGTTGACCACTAACCGTGTTGACTACTAACCGTGTTGACCACTAACCGTGTTGACCACTAACCGTGTTGACCACTAACCGTGTTGACCACTAACCGTGTTGACTACTAACCGTGGTTGACTACTAACCGTGTTGACTACTAACCGTGTTGACTACTAACCGTGTTGACCACTAACCGTGTTGACCACTAACCGTGTTGACCACTAACCGTGTTGACCACTAACCGTGTTGACCACTAACCGTGTTGACTACTAACCGTGTTGACCACTAACCGTGTTGACCACTAACCGTGTTGACTACTAACCGTGTTGACTACTAACCGTGTTGACCACTAACCGTGTTGACTACTAACCGTGTTGACTACTAACCGTGTTGACCACTAACCGTGTTGACTACTAACCGTGTTGACTACTAACTGTGTTGACTACTAACCGTGTTGACTACTAACCGTGTTGACTACTAACCGTGTTGACTACTAACCGTGTTGACTACTAACCGTGTTGACTACTAACCGTGTTGACCACTAACCGTGTTGACTACTAACCGTGTTGACTACTAACCGTGTTGACCACTAACCGTGTTGACTACTAACCGTGTTGACTACTAACCGTGTTGACTACTAACCGTGTTGACCACTAACCGTGTTGACTACTAACCGTGTTGACTACTAACCGTGTTGACTACTAACCGTGTTGACCACTAACCGTGTTGACCACTAACCGTGTTGGCCACTAGTCCACTCACACTCCAGGCTGACTCCCCTGTCATTACCTCCCGTGGTCACCAGTCCACTCACACTCACAGCTGACTCCCCTGTCATTACCTCCCGTGGTCACCAGTCTACTCACACTGCAGGCTAACTCCCCTGTCATTACCTCCCGTGGCCACCAGTCTACTCACACTCACAGCTGACTCCCCTGTCATTACCTCCTGTGGCCACCAGTCCACTCACACTGCAGGCTGACTCCCCTGTCACTACCTCCCGTGGCCACTAGTCCACTCACACTCACAGCTGACTCCCCTGTCATCACCTCCCGTGGCCACCAGTCCACTCACACTCACAGCTGACTCCCCTGTCATCACCTCCCGTGGCCACCAGTCCACTCACACTCACAGCTGACTCCCCCTGTCATTACCTCCCGTGGTCACCAGTCCACTCACACTGCTGGCTGACTCTCCTGTCATTACCTCCCGTGGTCACCAGTCTACTCACACTGCAGGTTGTCTGATTGGCTGTGGCTTTGCTTTCATTCTAGATTTGCTATCACCCACTCAGTGGGGCTGATGATGTTCAAACCCTTGTCTCTCACACACACACTCACACACTCACTCACACTCACACACTAATATACACTCACACACTCACACACACACACACACTCAAACACACACTCACTCACACACTCACACACACACACTCACACACTTACTCACACTCACACACACTCACACACACTCACACACACACTCACACACTCACACACACACTCACACACACTCACACACACACTCATATACACTCACACACACACTCATATACACTCACACACACACGCACACTCGCAAACTCGCACACACACTCACACACACACTCACACACACTCACACACACACTCACACACACACACTCATATACACTCACACACACTCGCACACACTCACACACACACTCATATACACTCACACACTCATATACACTCACACACACACTCACTCACACACTCACACACACTGACACTCACACACTCACACACACTCACACACACTCATATACACACACACTCACACACACTCACACACACTCACACACACACTCACACACACACTCATATACACTCACACACTCGCACACACACTCACACACTCACACACTCACACACACACACTCGCACACACTCACACACACTCTCACACACACACTCGCACACTCACGCACTCCTCCACCCACTCACCCACCCACTCACCAACCCACACACACTCTCACACACACTCACTCACCCACTCACCCACTCACCCACCCACTCACCAACCCACCCACACACACACTCACACAATCACCCACCCACACTCACCCACACACACACTCACTCACACACACACACTCACACACACACTCGCACACACACTCACACACGCAGGTCCCCTCCCCCGCGCCCCCCCCGTCTCCCCCCGCGTGCCCCTCCCCCCCCTACCCGTCCGAGCTGTCGGGATTGGCCACGGCCATGGAGGCCATGGGCTACCCGGGGCACCGCGTGGCAAGGGCGCTGCGTTCCCGTGGCAACGACCAGGACGGCGTGGGTAACCCATGGCAACGGGGGCGGGGCCAGGGCACGGGGTGTTAGGGGGGGGGGGGGAGAGAGGGATCCTTTGACCCGGTGACCCAATTACCGTGGCCCTGTGACCCAGTCACTCTGTGACCCAGTCACTCTGTGACCCAGTCACTGTGTGACCCAGTCACTCTGTGACCCGTGACCCAGTCACTCGATGACCCAGTCACTCTGTGGCCCAGTCACTCTGTGACCCGTGACCCAGTCACTCTGTGACCCAGTCACTCTGTGACCCAGTCACTCTGTGACCCTGTGACCCAGTCACTCTGTGACCCAGTCACTCTGTGACCCAGTCACTCTGTGACCCAGTCACTCTGTGACCCAGTCACCCAGTCACTCTGTGACCCAGTCACTCTGTGACCCAGTCACTCTGTGACCCAGTCACTCTGTGACCCAGTCACTCTGTGACCCAGTCACTCTGTGACCCTGTGACCCAGTCACTCTGTGACCCAGTCACTCTGTGACCCAGTCACTCTGTGACCCAGTCACTCTGTGACCCAGTCACTCTGTGACCCAGTCACTCTGTGACCCAGTCACTCTGTGACCCTGTGACCCAGTCACTCTGTGACCCAGTCACTCTGTGACCCAGTCACTCTGTGACCCTGTGACCCAGTCACTCTGTGACCCAGTCACTCTGTGACCCAGTCACTCTGTGACCCAGTCACTCTGTGACCCAGTCACTCTGTGACCCAGTCACTCTGTGAACCTGTGACCCAGTCACTCTGTGACCCTGTGACCCAGTGACTCTGTGACCCAGTTACTCTGTGACCCAGTCACTGTGTGACCCAGTGACTCTGTGACCCAGTCACTCAGTGACCCAGTCACTCTGTGACCCAGTCACTCTGTGACCCAGTCACTCAGTGACCCAGTCACTCTGTGACCCAGTCACTCTGTGACCTAGTCACACAGTCACTCTGTGACCCAGTCACCCTGTGACCCAGTCACTCAGTGACCCAGTCACTCTGTGACCCAGTCACTCTGTGACCTAGTCACACAGTCACTCTGTGACCCAGTCACCCTGTGACCCAGTCACTCAGTGACCCTGTGACCCAGTGACCCTGTGACCCAGTCACCCTGTGACCCTGTGACCCAGTCACTGTGTGACCCAGTCACTGTGTGACCCAGTCACTCTGTGACCCAGTCACCCAGTCACTCTGTGACCCAGTCACCCTGTGACCCAGTCACTCAGTGACCCTGTGACCCAGTGACCCTGTGACCCAGTCACCCTGTGACCCTGTGACCCAGTCACTGTGTGACCCAGTCACTGTGTGACCCAGTCACTCTGTGACCCAGTCACCCAGTCACTCTGTGACCCAGTCACTCTGTGACCCTGTGACCCAGTCACTGTGTGACCCAGTCACTCTGTGACCCAGTCACACTGTGACTCTGTGACCCAGTCACTCTGTGACCCAGTCACTCTGTGACCCAGTCACTCTGGGACTCTGTGACCCAGTCACTCTGTGACCCAGTCACTCTGTGACCCTGTGACCCAGTCACCCTGTGTCCCAGTCACTCTGTGATCCAGTCACTCAGTGACCCATTCACTCAGTGACCCAGTCACTCTGTGACCCAGTCACTCTGTGACCCAGTCACTCAGTGACCCGGTGACCCAGTCACTCTGTGACCCAGTCACTCTGTGACCCAGTCACTCTGTGACCCAGTCACACTGTGACCCTGTGACCCAGTCACCCTGTGTCCCAGTCACTCTGTGATCCAGTCACTCAGTGACCCATTCACTCAGTGACCCAGTCACTCTGTGACCCAGTCACTCTGTGACCCAGTCACTCTGTGACCCAGTCACTCTGTGACCCAGTCACACGGTGACCCTGTGACCCAGTCACCCTGTGTCCCAGTCACTCTGTGATCCAGTCACTCTGTGACCCAGTCACTCTGTGACCCAGTCACCCTGTGACCCAGTCACTCTGTGACCCAGTCACTCTGTGACCCAGTCACTCTGTGACCTAGTCACACAGTCACTCTGTGACCCAGTCACCCTGTGACCCAGTCACTCAGTGACCCTGTGACCCAGTGACCCTGTGACCCAGTCACCCTGTGACCCTGTGACCCAGTCACTGTGTGACCCAGTCACTGTGTGACCCAGTCACTCTGTGACCCAGTCACCCAGTCACTCTGTGACCCAGTCACTCTGTGACCCTGTGACCCAGTCACTGTGTGACCCAGTCACTCTGTGACCCAGTCACACTGTGACTCTGTGACCCAGTCACTCTGTGACCCAGTCACTCTGTGACCCAGTCACTCTGTGACCTGTGACCCAGTCACTCTGTGACCCAGTCACTCTGTGACCCTGTGACCCAGTCACCCTGTGTCCCAGTCACTCTGTGATCCAGTCACTCAGTGACCCATTCACTCAGTGACCCAGTCACTCTGTGACCCAGTCACTCTGTGACCCAGTCACTCAGTGACCCGGTGACCCAGTCACTCTGTGACCCAGTCACTCTGTGACCCAGTCACTCTGTGACCCAGTCACACTGTGACCCAGTCACCCTGTGTCCCAGTCACTCTGTGATCCAGTCACTCAGTGACCCATTCACTCAGTGACCCAGTCACTCTGTGACCCAGTCACTCTGTGACCCAGTCACTCTGTGACCCAGTCACACTGTGACCCAGTCACACTGTGACCCTGTGTCCCAGTCACTCTGTGATCCAGTCACTCAGTGACCCATTCACTCAGTGACCCAGTCACTCTGTGACCCAGTCACTCTGTGACCCAGTCACTCTGTGACCCTATGACCTAGTCACTCTGTGACCCAGTCACTCAGTGACCCAGTCACTCTGGGACTCTGTGACCCAGTCACTCTGTGACCCAGTCACTCTGTGACCCTGTGACCCAGTCACTCTGTGACCCAGTCACTCTGTGACCCGTTGACCCAGTCACTCTGTGACCCGTTGACCCAGTCACTCTGTGACCCAGTCACTCTGTGACCCGGTGACCCAGTCACTCTGTGACCCAGTCACTCTGTGACCCAGTCACCCTGTGACCCAGTCACTCTGTGACCCTGTGACCCAGTCACTGTGTGACCCAGTCACTCTGTGACCCTGTGACCCAGTCACTCTGTGACCCAGTCACTCTGTGACCCTGTGACCCAGTCACTCTGTGACCCAGTCACTCTATGACCCTGTGACATAGTCACTCTGTGACCCAGTCACTCAGTGACCCGGTGACCCAGTCACTCTGTGACCCGGTCACTCTGTGACCAAGTCACTCTGTGACCCTGTGACCCAGTCACTCTGTGACCCAGTCACTCTGTGACCCAGTCACTCTGTGACCCTGTGACCCAGTCACTGTGGGACCCAGTCACTCTGTGACCCAGTCACTGTGTGACCCAGTCACTGTGTGACCCAGTCACTCTGTGACCCTGTGACACAGTGACCCAGTCACTCTGTGACCCAGTCACTCTGTGACCCAGTCAGCCAGTCACTCTGTGACCCGGTCACTCTGTGACCCAGTCACTCTGTGACCCAGTCACTCTGTGACCCTGTGACCCAGTCACTCTGTGACCCAGTCACTCTGTGACCCAGTCACTCTGTGACCCAGTCACTCTGTGACCCTGTGACCCAGTCACTGTGTGACCCAGTCACTGTGTGACCCAGTCACTGTGTGACCCAGTCACTCTGTGACCCTGTGACACAGTGACCCAGTCACTCTGTGACCCAGTCACTCTGTGACCCAGTCACTCTGTGACCCTGTGACCCAGTCACTGTGTGACCCAGTCACTGTGTGACCCAGTCACTGTGTGACCCAGTCACTCTGTGACCCTGTGACACAGTGACCCAGTCACTCTGTGACCCAGTCACTCTGTGACCCAGTCACCCAGTCACTCTGTGACCCAGTCACTCTGTGACCCAGTCACCCAGTCACTCTGTGACCCGGTCACTCTGTGACAGTCACTCTGTGACCCAGTCACTCTGTGACCCAGTCACTCTGTGACCCAGTCACTCTGTGACCCAGTCACCCAGTCACTCTGTGACCCGGTCACTCTGTGACAGTCACTCTGTGACCCAGTCACTCTGTGACCCAGTCAGCCAGTCACTCTGTGACCCAGTCACTCTGTGACCCAGTCACTCTGTGACCCAGTCAGCCAGTCACTCTGTGACCCAGTCACTCTGTGACCCAGTCACTCTGTGATCCGTGACCCACTGTGTGACCCGTGACCCACTGTGTGACCCCGTGACCCACTGTGTGACCCCGTGACCCACTGTGTGACCCGTGACCCACTGTGTGACCCCGTGACCCACTGTGTGACCCCGTGACCCCCCATCCCCAGGTATTTGACTTCCTGTGCTGGTGTCAGAAGCTCTGTGACAAGGGGCACCCCGAGGCTTTGGTTTTCGCGGCGCTAGATGCCTCACCCAACTCTGAGTCCGAGGTCAGTGTCTAGCGCCACTTGCATGGGTGGGTGAGTGGGTGGGTGAGTGAGTGGTGAGTGAGTGGGTGAGTGAGTGAGTGGGTGAGTGAGTGGGGGAGTGGGTGAATGAGTGAGTGGGTGAGTGGGTGGGTGAGTGGGTGAGTGGGGGAGTGAGTGGGTGAGTGTGTGAGTGAGTGGGTGAGTGAGTGAGTGGGTGAGTGAGTGAGTGAGTGGGTGAGTGGGTGGGTGAGTGAGTGAGTGGGTGAGTGTGTGAGTGGGGGAGTGAGTGGGTGAGTGAGTGGGTGAGTGAGTGAGTCAGTGGGTGAGTGGGTGGGTGGGTGAGTGGGTGAGTGAGTGAGTGGGTGGGTGGGTGAGTGAATGAGTGTATGAGTGAGTGTGTGAGTGAGTGAGTGTGTGAGTGAGTGAGTGTGTGAGTGAGTGTATAAGTGAGTGAGTGTATGAGTGAGTGAGTGTATGAGTGAGTGTATGAGTGAGTGTATGTATGAGTGAGTGTATGAGTGAGTGAGTGTATGAGTGAGTGTATGAGTGAGTGAGTTTATGAGTGAGTGAGTTTATGAGTGAGTGTATGTGTGTGTGAGTGAGTGTGTGTATGAGTGAGTGTATGAAGGAGTGTACGTGTGTATGAGTGAGTGTATGAGTGAGTGTATGAGTGAGTGAGTGAGTGTATGAGTGAGTGTACGTGTGTATGTATAAGTTGAGTGTATGTATATATGAGTGAGTGTATGTATGTGTGAGTGAGTGTATATGTGTATGAATGAGTGAGTGTATGAATGAGTGTGTGTATGTATAAGTGAATGAGTGTATGAGTGAGTGTATGTATGTGTGAGTGAGTGTATGAGTGAGTGAGTGTATGAGTGAGTGTGTGTATGAGTGAGTGTACGTGTGTATGAATGAGTGAGTGTATGAGTGTATGTATGAGTGTATGTGTGTGTGAGTGAGTGTGTGTATGTATGTATGAGTGTATGTATAAATGAGTGAGTGAATGAGTATGAATGAGTGAGTGAATGAATGAATGTATGTATGAGTGAGTGTATGAGTGAGTCAGTGTATGAGTGAGTGAGTGTATGAGTGAGTGAGTGTATGAGTGAGTGTATGTATGAGTGAGTGAGTGAATGAGTGTATAAGTGAGTGAGTGAGTGTATGAGTGAGTGTATGTATGAGTGAGTGAGTGTATGAGTGAGTGTATGTATGAGTGAGTGAGTGAGTGTATGTATGAATGAGTGAATGAGTGTATAAGTGAGTGAGTGTATGAGTGTATGAGTGAGTTGAATGAATGTATGAGTGTATGAATGAGTGAGTGTATGAGTGAGTGAGTGAATGAGTGTATGAGTGAGTGAGTGAATGAGTGTATGCGTGAATGAGTGTGTATGAGTGAGTGAGTGAATGAGTGAATGAGTGTATGAATGAGTGAGTTAATGAGTGTATGAATGAGTGAGTGAATGAGTGTATGAATGAGTGAATGAGTGAGTGAATGAATGTGTGTATGAGTGTATGAGTGAGTGAGTGTATGTGTGTATGAGTGAGTGAATGAGTGTATGAATGAGTGAGTGAATGTGTGTATGAGTGAGTGAGTGTATGAATGAATGAGTGAGTGAGTGTATGAATGAGTGAGTGAGTGTATGTGTGTATGAGTGAGTGAATGAGTGTATGTATGAGTGAGTGAATGTGTGTATGAGTGAGTGAGTGTATGAATGAGTGAGTGAATGAGTGAGTGTATGAGTGAGTGAATGAGTGAGTGTATGAGTGAGTGTATGAGTGAGTGTATGAATGAGTGAGTGAATGAGTGTATGAATGAGTGAGTGAGTGAATGAATGAGTGTATGAGTGAGTGAGTGTACGAGTGTATGAATGAGTGAGTGAATGAGTGAGTGAATGAGTGAGTGAATGAGTGAGTGAATGAGTGAGTGTATGAATGAGTGAGTGTATGAGTGAGTGAGTGAATGAGTGAATGAATGAGTGACTGAATGGATGAATGAGTGAGTGTATGAGTGAGTGTGTGAATGAGTGAGTGAATGAGTGTATGAATGAGTGAGTGAATGAGTGAATGAATGAATGAGTGAATGAGTGTATGAATGAGTGAGTGAATGAGTGTATGAATGAGTGAGTGAATGAGTGTATGAATGAGTGAATGAGTGAGTGTATGAATGAGTGAATGAGTGAGTGAATGAATGTGTGTATGAGTGTATGAGTGAGTGAGTGTATGAGTGTATGAATGAGTGAGTGAGTGAATGAGTGTGTGTATGAATGAGTGTATGAGTGAGTGAGTGTATGAGTGAGTGAGTGTGTGAATGAGTGAATGAGTGTATGAGTGAGTGAGTGAATGAGTGTATGTATGAGTGAGTGAATGTGTGTATGAGTGAGTGAGTGTATGAATGTGTGTATGAATGAGTGTGTGAATGAGTGAATGAATGACTGAATGAGTGAATGAGTGTATGAGTGAGTGAGTGGCCTGTCCCTCCCCCTCCCCAGGTGGAACATTTCGTTTCGCTTCTCTGCGGTTTCACCGACATGGGCTTCAGTGTGCTGGAGGTGCAGCGGGCGCTTAAAGCCGTACAGCGCAACACCAACACCAACACCACCACCACCGGCACCACCACCGGCACCGGCACCGGCACCGGCACTCACCACCACCACCATCACCACGGCGATCGGGGGGGAGGGGGGGGTGGGGGGCCCCCCCCCTCCCCCGCTGATCCCTCGCGAGTCCTGGAGGAGTTGGTGCTGAGCTCCTGCCAAGGCGCGGACGGGGGTGGAGCCGGACCGCCGTGAAGGACACGGTGACCCACACGGTGACCCACACGGTGACCCACACGGTGACCCACGCGGTGACCCACACGGTGACCCACACGGTGACCCACGCGGTGACCCACACGGTGACCCACGCGGTGACCCACGCGGTGACCCACGCGGTGACCCACACGGTGACCCACACGGTGACCCACACGGTGACCCACGCGGTGACCCACACGGTGACCCACACGGTCACTGTGACCCCCACCCACCCACACGGTGACCCACACGGTGACCCACGCGGTGACCCACGCGGTGACCCACACGGTGACCCACACGGTGACCCACACGGTGACCCACACGGTGACCCACACGGTGACCCACACGGTGACCCACGCGGTGACCCACACGGTGACCCACGCGGTGACCCACGCGGTCACTGTGACCCCCACCCACCCACACGGTGACCCACACGGTCACCCACCCACCCACCCACACGGTCACCCACCCACCCACCCACACGGTCACCCACCCACCCACCCACACGGTCACCCACCCACCCACCCACATGGTCACCCACCCACCCACCCACACGGTCACCCACCCACCCACCCACACGGTCACCCACCCACCCACCCACACGGTCACCCACCCACCCACACGGTCACCCACCCACCCACACGGTCACCCACCCACACAGTCACCCACCCACACTGTCACTCACCCACCCACACGGTCACCCACCCACACGGTCACCCACCCACCCACACGGTCATTGTGAACCCCACCCACCCACACGGCCATCGTGAACCCCACCCACCCACACGGCCATCGTGAACCCCACCCACCCACCCACACAGCCACCGTCAACCCCACCCACCCACACGGTCACCGTGAACCCCACCCACCCACCCACACGGTCACCGTGAACCCCACCCACCCACACGGTCATCGTGAACCCCACCCACCCACACAGCCACCGTCAACCCCACCCACCCACACGGTCACCGTGAACCCCACCCACCCACCCACACGGCCATCGTGAACCCCACCCACCCACACAGCCACCGTCAACCCCACCCACCCACACGGTCACCGTGAACCCCACCCACCCACCCACACGGTCACCGTGAACCCCACCCACAGTAGCAATCAATTCTGGTGGGGAGACGCAGGGAGGTGGTGGTGATGGTGGCAGTGGTGGTGGATGTGATAATGGTGGTGGCGATAGTGGTTGTGGTGGTGGTGGATGTGATAACGGTGGTAGTGATGGTGATGGTTGTGGTGGTGGTGGTGATGATGGTGATGATGGTAGTGGTGATGAATTTGTGGTGATGGTGGTTGGGATGGTGGCGGTTGTGGTGGTGGTGATGGTAGTGGTGATTAATTTGTGGTGATGGTGGTAGTGATGGTGGCGGTTGTGGTGGTGGCGGTGTTGGTGATGATGGTGGTGGTGATTAATTTGTGGTGATGGTGGTAGTGATGGTGATGGTTGTGGTGGTGATGATGATGGTGATGATGGTGATCGTAGTGGTGATTAATTTGTGGTGTCGGTGGTGGTGATGGTGGTGGTGGTGATGATGGTAGTGGTGATCAATTTGTGGTGATGGTGGTTGGGATGATGATGGTGGTTGTGGTGGTGGTGATGATGACGACGGCGGTGATGGTGATGTTACCAAATGCCACACACACAGCACACACTGCTGTAACCTCTAGGTGTTCTGTGGGCATGCATCTCATCTCACTCTCTCATCTCTCTCTCTCCCCGTGCCTGTACGTAACACAACAAGTGCTTGGCTGCAGGGAGCGAGGCTTCGGTATTTAAGTCCCGCGGCCGAGAACTGCCGGGTTTCATTCCGGTGTGCGGAGCTTTCAATAAAGGCAGGCGTTGATGCATCTGTGATTTCAGGAATGCAATGCTCTCTGGACTTTCTTTTTGGCCAGTTTTCAGTTGATTTATTTCGGTATAGCCCTGCGAGTTAACGGACACAGACGAAAAATAAAAAACACGGACGAGGAAAACTTCTTCAATGTGACTGTGACCGCACGCAGGCAGAAAATCCACGGGGAGAAAACAAGAAACCGGCAAAATATTCCTGAACAAAAAGCGTGGTACACCACCAACGCTACGTGCAAAAAAATCCCAGTTGGGATGTAAGTCAAACAACAACAACAACAACCACCACAAGACAACTTAGATTAAGGCCATCAGTTTGTGAGTTAACAAAAACAACAACCACAAGACAACTTAGATTAAGGCCGTCAGTCTAACTCCGTACTACAACAACAACCACAAGACAACTTAGATTAAGGCCATCAGTCTAACTCCGTTACTACAACAACAACCACAAGACAACTTAGATTAAGGCCATCAGTCTAACTCCGTACAACAACCACAAGACAACTTAGATTAAGGCCATCAGTCTAACTCCGTACAACAACAACAACCACAAGACAACTTAGATTAAGGCCATCAGTCTTAACTCCGTTACTACAACAACAACCACAAGACAACTTACATTATGAGACCTCCTTTGCCAGTAACAAGATATAGGAATAGGTTTTACCCTTTTAACTGGCACAAAACGCCTTTTGGCGTCTTCTGGTCCAACACCAGCGGAGAGACTAAAGGGCTCTAAGAAAAGCCGTCTCGGGTGTGGACCAATCAAATTCAAGGACAGTGCCAATATCATTATCAGAGTTGTCTCTTTTTGTTTGCATTTTGACTGCTTGTGTTGTGGTTATTGCAAACATGATGCCTTGAATAAAGGTGTCAGTTTTTGTTTGTGCCAGTTAAAAGGGTAAAACCTATTCCTAAGACAACTCAGATTAAGGCCATCAGTCTAACTCCGTTACTACAACAACAACCACAAGACAACTTAGATTAAGGCCATCAGTCTAACTCCGTTACTACAACAACAACAACCACAAGACAGCTTAGATTAAGGCCATCAGTCTAACTCCATACTACAACAACAACCACTAGACAGCTTAGATTAAGGCCATCAGTCTAACTCCGTTACTACAACAACAACAACCACAAGACAACTTAGATTAAGGCCATCAGTCTAACTCCGTACTACAACAACAACCACAAGACAACTTAGATTAAGGCCATCAGTCTAACTCCGTACTACAACAACAACCACAAGACAACTTAGATTAAGGCCATCAGTCTTAACTCCGTACAACAACAACAACCACAAGACAACTTAGATTAAGGCCATCAGTCTTAACTCCGTTACTACAACAACAACCACAAGACAACTTACATTATGAGACCTCCTTTGCCAGTAACAAGATATAGGAATAGGTTTTACCCTTTTAACTGGCACAAAACGCCTTTTGGCGTCTTCTGGTCCAACACCAGCGGAGAGACTAAAGGGCTCTAAGAAAAGCCGTCTCGGGTGTGGACCAATCAAATTCAAGGACAGTGCCAATATCATCATCAGAGTTGTCTCTTTTTGTTTGCATTTTGATTGCTTGTGTTGTGGTTATTGCAAACATGATGCCTTGAATAAAGGTGTCAGTTTTTTTTAGTGCCAGTTAAAAGGGTAAAACCTATTCCTAAGACAACTTAGATTAAGGCCATCAGTCTAACTCCGTTACTACAACAAGACAAACCATTTTGATTTAAAGCTTTCGTGACTGCAGTAATTCATATTCTTAGTTTTTTCGGTAAAGTCACGTTTAAGGGAAACAACAAATAATAATAAAATATATATAAAACAATAAAAAATTCTCACGACGTTTCGACCATAACTCAAACGGTCATCTTCAGGTGTGTTGGTTCGCATAAATTTATTTTTAAACGGCGCATTTATTTATTTATAAAACGTTGGCGCCACGCGCAGCGATTTGGCAATTTATTTAGGACTAGTCCATCTATGTTCTGAAAAGAGGAGGGGGGAGACGAAATATTTTTATAATGTATGCTGTCTGAAAGCCACTGTAAGCGTGAACAATCAATTAAGACCTGCAATCATTGGAAAGATTTGATAAACCATTTCAGGTCTTAATTGATTGTTCACCATTACAGTGGCTTTCAGACAGCATACATTATAAAAAAATTCGTCTCCCCCTCCTCTTTTCAGAATATAGATGGACTAGTCCTAAATAAACTGCCAAATCGTTGCGCGTGGCGCTAACGTTTTTATAAATAAATAAATGCGCCGTTTAAAAATAAATTTATGCAAACCAACACACCTGAAGACGACCGTTTGAGTTATGGTCGAAACGTCGTGAGAATTTTTTTATTGTTTTATATATATTTTATTATTTTGTTGTTTCTCTTCAACGTGACTTTACCGAAAAAACTAAGAATATGAATTACTGCAGTCACGAAAGCTTTAAATCAAAACAAACCATGTCCAAAAACCAAAAAAAAACGTTTTCCAAATCACCAAAAAAATAAAGGCGTCATTGCAACATAACATTGATCACAGGGACCGAATTTTTTTTAACAATAAATCGCGTAGATAGTTTATTTTAAAAGGTGGAATCTACGCGATTACAGCAAGCTTCCCCCGTGTCCCTGTGGCCCATGAATCCATGCGATTCTATCTCCGTGCCTTTACCGAATGAACCAGAGAGAGAGAGAGAGAAACGACTGGAGGAGTTGAGTCGCGTCCAGGATTGAGGTGGAGTATTGTGTTGCGACGTTCGGATCGCGTCTCGTAGAGACCCACAGAGACTCGTA